AATATTCCTGTTGTTTACTTGTTCTAGTTTTCTTTCAGAATTCAGAGACACGTCTGTAGATTTGATAAACTTAAGCTTGCTCAGTCAGCAGTCAACACATACAGCCACAACGCACATACTCACATAATTTTTTCATTATTTTTTAAATCAGTATCACCCCAAGCAAGGCAGTAACACCACTAACACACAACTGGGTGTGGAAGAATAAGGTAAAAAAAAAAGTGTGGAAGAATAAGGTAAAACAAACATTAATAATGAGCGGGGAGATGAAAGTGTAATCAGAGGACAGTAGATAGCGATTGATATTGCATTTAAATATTTAAAGATTAAAGTTGACTGTAAAACATGAAGCCGGGGGTGGGGGGATTTCCACAAGGGAGAAGTGCGAGAAAAGAATCTGATAGCATAGAAGTAACGGCTACATCTCACCAGCTCAACTGGAAATTGATTAGATCTTGACGTCAGTCTAATAGTGAGTTTAAGTTAAGAAAGTCTAAATATAATAGCCAAGAACTGATCCGTCCGAACAATTTTCATGAAAGTATTTATGGAAAGCCAGAAGTCGGTTGAAAAGTGACCGAAGCGGAGCCGCCAGATTACTGATTCTTTATATATATATATATATATATATATATATATATATATATATATTTCACACAAAACTAATGCAAAGGTTAATGCTTTAAATGGCGAGACATCCATCATCGCAAACAATTCAAATAGTATACAAAAACCTCCAGATCCGTTATGAATGAATTGATCCTTGTTTATATAAATTTCTGCCGTATTAGTTGTTATTTTTACTTCAAGCTTTCGTCTGTTCCTACAGACATCTTCAGGTATAGAATAGATGTTGTTCTTGGTTTTTTCTCTTAGTAATAAGAGGACAACGAAAATATATGTGTTGTTGTATCCGAAAATGCTATTGAAAATGAGTTATTGGTTTTGGAACGCGCCAAAGCAACGCTGACAGAAATTTATATAAACAAGGATCAATTCATTCATAACGGATCTGGGGGTTTTTGTATACTATTTGAATTGTTTGCGATGATGGATGTCTCGCCATTTAAAGCATTAACCTTTGCATTAGTTTTGTGTGAATAATTCATGTATTTGTATATATATATATATATATATATATATATATATATATATATATAGATAGATAGATAGATAGATAGATAGATATGTATGTTTTTTCTTTATTGTTTTCTTTATTTTGATGATGGCCATCATTATTTTGGTATTAGAACGGAGATAATGTGATGACGATGTTTTGCTGGCTGAAATGACTAGACACTTCAATGTATATTTTTTAAAACTGATCTCTTGTTTATTGGTTTAGTAGAATCATAAAACATACTTGAGTGTATTTAAGTAAGTTCAGGGCATTATATAATATCGACCATTCTTTTTTTAATTCAATGCAAGATAGCGCGTTCGCTGGGGACTGAATTCTTCTGCAGAAGGGAACAAGACACGTCCAACCTCGAAGCATTCTGCGGATAAATAGAAATAAGCAGCGGTATAAAAGGAAAATGTCGTTAATAGAAGTTCCGTTGCAGACAAGTGAGATAATCCCAGAGCTTCTCAAAGGAATTCCGTTAAATTACCATTATCAGGTCTTTATTACTTCTAAGAGAAGTAAATAAGTAAAAAGAAAAAAAAAACACACGTTACAATTAATAGTAATAATAATCCTATTATAATTCTTCCTGTTCCCCTCTCCGTTAGTTTGCATAGGCGTGAAGTCCTGTCAATACCTCCTAAATAATGAACTATTCCGTTTTGATCATGTCGAAAGAGGGGAAAAGGCACGACTTGTTTTCAGCGAGGAACGAAAGAAAAAATGGAAGATAAAAGTGTTTATCGGCTGTTTCAGGGAAATGGAAAATTTACCAATTTCTAGTATTTTATATTTGTACCCGCTTCTTCGAATAACGACCAGCATTCATATTTACAATTGTTATTGCAATATTTTGTTAAAGTTGTTAAGCTCAAATATTTAACGATACGATATGGGAATTTTTACGGATAGTTTATTGTCATACAATTTGCCATAGGCTTATTCAGTCATTAACCTAAGAACTAAGGTTTATCAGAATATGAAAATAGGAAAACCGTGAAATTTTCTCGGATAAAACTGGTAATATTAATAACTATAATTATAATAATTATATTATTAAAATAAGAAGAAGAATGAGGAAAATTGTTCCAATACAAGGACCTGGAAATCGAGATTAACAAGATGTGGGGAATGAATTACCAATAGTATTCGGATCCCGGGACCGCGTGAGAAAAGGAATGAAAAACTTTACTAACAGTGTCCCAAGTAACATCAACAAATTGCCCAAAAGATCGCGTTACTAGGAACATCCCATATATTAAGAAAAGTACTATCAATGAAATGACAATTCTTTTATAGGGTCTAAGGACCATAGTTTAGACCCGGCTCTACAGGATACAAAGCAAGAAACATAATATACACAAATAATAATAATAATAATAATAATAATAATAATAATAATGTTTCAAAACATTTTAAGAATGGGACTATACAAGATTGGGTGTTCTAAAGGTGCAAGAAAAAAGCAAAGAGCTCTATTCTGTATCGAAAGAAGTCTATAGATATACCAGAGAATTCTAATTAAATCTTGAAAATAGCACCGAAGTTGATACGACTGCCTCAAAATCAGCAAGAAAGCTGAAACATAAACGGAAAAGCTAGCCCAAAAGCAAATAGATGAAAGCCGGATCCAAAAACATCTATATAGCCAGTCCCTCCTCCGGAACAAAAATGCTGATGTAGATCAATTCTCAACCCCCCCCCCCACTTTTTAAGGACCTAAGGATAATACTGAACTGTTTAGTTTGATGCACAGGACCAGATCCTACTTTTCTTTTTAAGTTAAAAACTAAAACTGTTTCTGTTAAAGAAAAGAACTCAACATCAAATCAACACCATCTCTGTCGCACCATCTCTCTCAAAAAAATAATTGTAACAGCTATGGACGATCTCCTCCGAAGAGCTTTATCAATTTAATTTAATTTTAATTATTAATAACTATCTTTTGTTCAATTAAGTTTAACACAAAAATCACATCATTCACTTTCTCGAGGTCATAATGACCCAAAAGAAATCAAATGCAGGTCAATTTTATTTTTTAAAATAATAACAATAATAGTAACGACAATAATAACAACAAAAAATAATAATAATCGCAATATTAATAATGACACAAATAACAAATAATAATACAACAGTAATAAAAAAATAATAATAATATCGATAACAATAATATTAACAATAAAAATGGTAATAACAACGATACAAATAATAATAGCAACAATAATAACAATATTAATAACTATAAAAGTAATAAATGTAATAATAATAACAATAATAATATAATAGTGATGAAGACGATAATAATAATGATAACAATTGTAATAACAATAATGATAGCAATAATAATAACGATGAAATTAACACAATAATTATAACGATAACATTAATGATAATAATAACAATTATATTAATAATGATAATAATAATAAAAGCAAAACAACAATATTAATAAGAATATTAACAACAATAATATTAATAATAATAACAACAATAATAATAATATTAATAACGATGATTATAATAATAAGGATAATAATTTTAAGGACATTATTACTAACTATAATAATAATAATAATAATAATAATAATAATAATAATAATAATAATAATCATAATAAATAACATTAATGATTAAAATAATAAAATTTATCTATCATAATATTTTTATTATTACTGCATTTAAATAAGCAATAAATGAAAAAAGAGGTTTCAAAAAGCTCTAATAGGATGTAACAATAAAAATGGCCTTCGTGGAATTGTGTTTTGTTTTGTTTTTTTGTTTTGTTTTACATCGTTGGCATCTGTCTATGCGTCGACGTCTAAATATGATTTTCAGAATCGGCATCTGTTCTTTCGAGTGTCGTGAGAATTTTTACTTTTCCTCACGAAAAAGTATCGAAGTAAAGATGCATAAATGCGATTTTTCTGACATCATGCTTCACTCGGCCATTTCTTTATGGAAGCCTCTAGAAATATTGTAATGAAAAGGGCGCCCTTCGTTCTACAAATTTGCTTGCGGTGATCTGTATGTACAGGATTAACATAGTCATGGCTGAACGTCGTCATTCGACAATGAAGACTTCCGTTTCGCCTTGGACACTGGAGGCAGTCATAAAACACACAGTCAGAAGATATCTGACACATATCGGCGACGTGAGGAAAAAGCCGAATTGATCAGCAATTCGCACGATTTGACTGTAAATTTGCTGTAAATTGCTTCTTCATGATTTGTTTTAAACTGGTTTTTCCCCTCAGATATGAGGATTTTCTTGATCATGTGCTCAGTGTGACTGAAACATGGTTTTGTATGTTAATCAGAGATCTACTATTCGTAGGATCGAAACACATGCGCAAGAAAATGAAATGTTCACCCTGAGAAATATTGTCCTTGACACCTAATGGGGTTGTAATGTAGTGAACTAATAGTATGGTCAGAAGTGGTTTTGTTTGTTTTTTTTTCCTTTAATTATCATGATTCAGAAAAAGTTATACGCATTTTGTCCAACGCCATTGAAAAGGAAACGGTCTATGAGAGATAACTTCACAAATTACTAAAAAAAAAAAATTGATGGAACAAAGAAAGGACGACCTGTCCTTTGTCGATTACCACTTTTTGCAAACCTTCGACGCGTATGTATACATTGCCGAATAAATTGCGTTTAAGAAGAGTAAAGATGATTTAATGTTTGCAGTCGGAAACGAGCATTTTTTCTTTTGCAACATAAAAATAAAAAAGCAATAACGAAAACTGCCTGATATGTAAATATGTGATATTTATTTAAATGTATCATGAGTGGATTGTATATATTTATTGTGCAATGAATAAATAGAAACCAGTAATGATACGTTCAAGTAGACAGATATGAGAATACTTAGATAGATAGATAGATAGATAGATAGATAGATAGATAGATAGATAGATAGATAGATGAGAAGAGATTTAGATAGATAGATAGATAGATAGCTGAGAAGAGATTTAGATAGATAGATAGATAGATAGATAGATAGATAGATGAGAAGAGATTTAGATAGATAGATAGATAGATAGATGAGAACAGATTTAAATAGATAGATAGATAGATAGATAGATAGATAGATAGATAGATAGATAGATAGATAGCTGAGAAGAGATTTAGATAGATAGATAGATAGATAGATAGATAGATAGATAGATAGATAAGAAGAGATTTAGATAGATAGATAGATAGATAGATAGATAGATAGATAGATAGATAGATAGATAGATAGATATCAACAGAATGAAATAGATATGATCATAGATAGATATACAGATAGATTATTTCGAAGTGTTGGCAACTGGTCTCTCCGTCTTGATTGTAGTTATTATAGTCACATCGCACACGGCTCTGTTTTAGGACTGAAAAGGAAAATCACGTCACTTCTCCATCCGCGCTTGTAAACGGAAATCATAACTGGGTAGTCATGATTTACACGTGAGATTACGGACGAGACTCGTTCTGACATTTCCGTAATCATCAAGACATGTTAGCTGACAGTGTCACAATTGTCAGTGGAGTATTGCCGGAATTTCTACTTTTGATCTGCGCCACGATCATTTCACTGCAGGTAAATGGATCGAATTTCGTAACAAAACCTTACAAATACATCTCGAGTTACACCAAAGACTCCGCTAGCTCGTCTTTTAATAAAAGGCATTGGCGATATTCATACAATTCAACTGTATTGCCTTATCATGTAACATGTTGTCGTTTGTTCTTTATCTTTTTAGAAGTAAAAAAAAGATATTGCTATGTTTATTTCGTTAAGGAAAATACATCAACGAAAATAAGAATAAAATGCACTCGGCAATAAATATCTCTTCATGTTCATATCGATGGTGAGAAAAGTGTTGTTTCGAGAACAATTTTGGTAATCGTTGAAAACTGTCGTCCAGAAAAGTACTGTGTTGTAGTTAGCGTTGTCCTGAAAAAGAGAATTTTGTATTTGCTCAAGAGTGTTGTCCTGAAAAGGACAATTTTGTAATCAGTGAAGAGGGGTGTCCTAAAAAGGACAATTTCTTATTTGCTCAAGAGCGTTGTCCTGAAAAAGAGATTTTTGTAATCGGTGAAGAGCCTTGTGCTAAAAAGGACAAGTTTGTAATCGGTGAAGAACGTTGTCTTGAAAATGACAATTTTGTAATCAGTCAAGAGAGTTGTCCTGAAAAGGAGAAGTTTGTAATCGGTGAAGTGTGTTGTCCTGGAAATGTCAATTTTTTAATCGGTGAAGAGCGTTGTCCTGAAAAGGACAATTTTGTAATCGGTGAAGAGCGTTGTCCTAAAAAAGACAATTTTGAAATCAGTGAAGAACGTTGTCCTAAAAAAGACAATTTTGAAATCAGTGAAGATCGTTGTCCTAAAAAGGACAATTTTGAAATCAGTGAAGAGCGTTGTCCTGAAAAGGACAATTTTGTAATCGATGAAGAGCATTGACCTTAAAATGACAGTTTATCATATATTGAAAGCGTCGGAAGATGGTGACCTAGTGCAGCGAATGAAGTGGTCAGCTTCACTGGCTGAAACTGCTACTGATACAGAGATATCCAAAAAAGGCATGGCACGTGGAATTAGAACATTCTACCCCGTAGCCTAAATAACGGGTTCGATTCGCGCAACAGTCCAAACGATGTAAATAATCCCACTGAAATATGTTGAAAAATGTTCAAGTTTTTATCTAAAACCAAAAAACTACGAATTTCATTGGTTCGTTTTCGACGGGTTATCAACTCTTTGCAATGTATTTATAGCCAGAAAATATTTGTAGATTTGTAGAATTTTTGTGAAGATAATAATAGTTTAGTGATACAAGTCGTACTTATTAACCCATAGCTGGGGAGAGAAGAAGTGGATTCCTACCTCTCGCATTTGCGCGTAAATCAATATAACGTAGCTACCGAGAATTGAAACTCAGACTCCGATTTCCAATTCTGAGCCATTATCCATTACACCACCCGCACATTCAAACTTACAACATCTGTTGTATTATTCCCAAACGTTCATCAATCTTGGTATTGAGTAGGCTCGACGTTGCTCAACTTTGGTGATCGTAGGGAAACCTGTGTTTTAACGTGATGTAACAGTAATCCCTAGATCAGCTTATGTTGGACATTTTCACGTGAATTATTCGATTTACCGTTTTATTTATTTATTTTTCCATTTTAAACAAATGTCTTCCGCCTCCTTTCAGCCAAATTTCTCGTACACCCCCCCCCACTCGCCATGAAAACTGTTTCACTTCCCAAGAATGAAGTAGCGATTTAGTTATTCTTCACAGTCTCCAAAGGAATTGGTTTTCTAGTCTTTACAGATCAGAAGAAATGGGAATTCAAAGGAGAATAGGGAAGATGAATGAAATTCCTCCAATTTAATGTAGGTTTAAAAAGAAAAAAACAAATGAAAAGAAATAAGTCTAAGGTTTAAAATTAATTTTTAGAAATGAAAAATCTTGCTTGAAACTTTTATTTTAGTTTTAATTTCAAGCTAACTGATTAAATTTAATATTTCCAATAAGCAAAATACTTTTCTGTATTTCAAAAATTATTTTAAACTAATTTAATTTGATTGAAAGGATGTTTTTGTTTCTTTTGCTAAATTTGCTGCTTAGCGATCTTTTTTTAGTCGTCTTTCATCGCAATTAAAAATGTTCCAAAAATAAAATATACTTTTCTGAAACATTATTCCGCGTAGTTATGTGTCATGCCTTTCTCAACGATATTTGAACATAAGTGCATGTATTGGATTCGAACTCGGTTGACACATTCTTTAATCCGAGCCGCTATCCATTACGCCACCATGCCTAATGTTTTAAAGCAGTTATAACTTTCTTTGTATTGTGTATATAGATTTTGTTTTTGTATACTAATAAAAGAATGGATGAGTAATATTTTGATGTGATGAAGATAACGAGGAGTCTCGGATATGTTTAATGGAGAGGAGTTTAGTTTTGAGGGTGTTAAAATTAACAAACCATCTTTTGCCCCAGATAACAACAGACATGAAGTCGTTTTGCATATCGGCTGCCATTTTGATATTATCGAACTTATCAACCTTACTATCGAGACGGGAGAAAATGGTTATGTCATCAGCGTAGATACCAAGTTGAGAGCTGATGCCATCGGGATGGTCATTAATTAAAATTAAAAAAGTAGGACACAAGATGGTGTGGGGAACACACATATTAGTACGAAAAGATCTAGACGCGAGTTCGGTCAGGATAACTTTCATTTCATAGCAAAGACTGGACCAGTTCAAAAATGTGTCAGGAGACAACGTAACTATTCTGCTTGTGGGGAAGACCTGTATGCCAAACCCTGTCAAAAACTTTTGAGATCTCAAAAGCTACAGCCCAGGCTGTTCACTCACTTACCCACAGATGTAAATTGTTTTCTTGTACCTTTGTTATAAATACTTTCATGGTAATTTTTCGGAGGAAATCTTCGATATGGTATCCAAACTTTATGAATTCAAGCCGCAGCGCTGAATTGGCGCCAAGGTCTCATCTATTTACAACTGAACTGGTTAAATGTAACCATAAGTTCTATGCTAACAGTTTCTTTTTCCAAACTCCTCGCTTGTGGAACTCTCTTCCGGTCCCATGCTTACCAGCCATTTTTGATCTTCAAAAATTTCATCGAAAAATCATCAAAAAATTCATCAAAGATTTCAACCCAAGCGAGGCTTGTATTCAGTCGTAATTAACAAACTTGCTAACCATTACACTACATCGAACTGCTCAGAATCATTTTAGTATGGTTGCTATCGCCAACGATGTATAACTCATGTTTTAACTCACCGCTCAAATGGCGAAAATTATTAGTGTCATTGGGGCTTCACATGTAGTGCATCCATAACAACAGTGATGCGTCTATGGCAAGATAAACTGACGAAGTCCATCCCTCTTCAGACTGGCTTTTGAATTCAGAGTATTTCTCTCTCCTAGACTGGTTACTCTTTCACAGCAAGATAGACAAGTCAGCCATACTATTTTTACAATAATGTTCACCCAATTCACACGGACACTAGCCTCACATGTGTTCATGCAGCAACCCTCTACCACGAGTGGCTCTTGAGCCTTGTATTGTTTTGATATATAATAAAAGATAAAGGTGGTCTAGATTGACAAGAGCAAAATGAGAAAGTTTTTTTAGAATGTCTTTCTTAAGCAATGAAAAACCATTTAGACATTCCTAAACTGAAAGAATTTCTTAAAAACAAATCTATCTAGTCCATTTAATCAGCAAAGTTGGCTCCATTTAAGTTCAAGTAATTCGGTTAATTCTTAATCTTTTTCTATCCATTGCCGCGAAATAAGTCTTTAACGAGATTTAATAATCAGATTTTTACTTTAAAATCTGCCAAGATAAACTGATTAGACTGGTTGGCTTCCGGCCATCATCAGGTGATCTGAATATGATTTAGAAGTGAAAACAAGACGAGGAAATCTTTTAGAAGTGGAAATTGCATAATGCTTTGAATGTTGTCATGTCAGGCTTTGTTTATACAGAGCAATGATATTTTGTTTTGTTCAGGAAATTATACTTATTTAATCGGTATAAATTGCGTACTTCTTTAATTGGTATAGAATACAAGATTTTTAATCAGTGTAAATGGTACTTATTTAATAGGTGTAAATGGTACTTATTTAATAGGTGTAAATGGTACTTATTTAATGGGTGGAAATGGTACTTATTTAATCGGTGGAAATGACACGTGAAAAGGCGAAGGGACGATAAATGTAAGAAGTAAAAAAAAGTTTATTTTTAATCGAATGTTACATGGCGGAAATAATTTAGATTAATTTCACAGAGAATCTGTAAATAGGAATAAAGAGTGAAAAAATGGGTAAAGAAAGAAAGAAAGAATGAAAGAAAGAAAGAATGTTACAGATTTAAAAAAAAAAAAAAAAGCAAAATGGCAAACGAATTGCAAAAGGAATGAAACTAGTAAGAATAAAAGATAAAAAAATCAATAAGGGTCTTTCTCCTGTGTGTGTGTGTGTGTGTGTGTGTGTGTGTGTGTGTGTGTGTGTGTGTGTGTGTGTGTGTGTGTGTGTTTCTCTGTGTGTGTGTGTGTATATATATATATATATATGTAATTTTTATATAAAAATATATTTTTTATATAATGTATAACAAAATATAAAATATATATATATATATATATATATATATATATATATATATATATATATATATATATATATTTCCTTTTCTTTTTTCTGAATAAATTGACTCCATTTCTTAAAAAAAACTTCGGTTTGAAGAAACGAATATTTGTATATTCATGAAATAAATAATAAATGATATATGATGATAATAATAATAATAATAATAATAATAATAATAATATACGCAACAGCTTTAGCAGCGACTCAGAAGCTTGGAGTCAAGACAATAAATAAAATTAACAGACACAGAGAACCAGCTTGGAAAACCAAACTGATTCGAGAAATAAAACAAATCAGATGTGAGCTTTCTATATTAGATGAGCTCACCAGAAACCCTAATATTTCCACACGTAAGTGCAAAAAGATCAAGCGGAAATATAACATTAAATCTCTAATTGACATTCCATCAATCAAGAAAATTCTGAAGCAGAAACTTCAGCTAAAGGCACAGAGAACAAGACGATACGAAAAACGTTGTAGGTTCTATCACCAAAATAAAATATTCCGAACAGATCTTAAGAAATTTTACAGGGAAATTGGAAAAATACCTATACATGTCGAAAGGCCACCATCGATTGATAATGTACAGACATTTTGGGAAAATATTTGGAGCATCCCAAAGAAATATAACCCAAATGCAGAATGCATCCGGCGTGAAGAAGAACGAATGCTGGATACACCTCTGCAAGAATGGGAAAATATATCCACGGATGATATCCACAGATGATGTTAGGCATGGTCTAACGAAATCCCAGAAATGGAAATCCCCAGGAAATGACAAGGTGCCCAATTTCTGGCTTTACCATCTCTCATCTATCCATGAAATTCTTGCAAAACCATTATCAACGCTTGTAAATAATCCCAATAAAATCCCGGAATGGATTACTGAAGGTATTACATACCTCACACCAAAAACAACTGAAATAGACGACCCGAAAAATTATAGACCGATAACATGTCTCATGTTGATCACGTCTGTACTGACGAACCGTACTTATTCTTTTTTCGAAACAAACAGCATTCTTCCCCTGGAACAGAAGGGATGCAGAAGAGGTTCATATGGCTGCAAAGATGAACTGCTGATAAATAAAATGATCCTGGAAAATTGCAGAAGACGATGTAGAAATCTTAGCGCAGCGTGGATTGATTATCGTAAAGCCTTTGATAGTGTTCCACATTCTTGGATCCTTAAGACTTTGGAAATGTACAAAATCTCCCCTGTGGTATTAAATTTCCTTAAGCACAGCATGGGAATGTGGAACACCAAACTATACCTTAGTCACACCTAGCTTACGGTCAAATCACGCTGAAACACCGGTTCTCGTTCGATCACCGAAGTTAAGCATCGTAGAGCCAGGTCAGTACTTAGATGGGGGACCGCTTGTGAACACCTGGTACTGTAAGCCCCCAAAGTCCAACCCTTACCTCACAGTTGGTGGGGGGTGTAAACGGTAGTGTCAGAGCTATGCCGCCCGGAACTTCGTTCCTGGTAGGGCCACCCAAGGCGGACAGGTCTGACACACACGCCGGCTAACAAGGGCTCTGGTGAAAATCCAAGGAGCGTCTGCATCGGTAACCGGCGGCTTCTTGTCGTTCCTGTCTCTGCGTCTGTGGGAATCCCGCGGCAAGCAAGAACGTTATCCGAGTAGGCCTGGGTACCCTACTTCTGTAATTTATCCCAAGAATCTTCTTCTCACAACAGGAAGAAGCCGGCTCAATCCGCCCAGGGTGAATGCCGCATCAGTACAGTACAGTACCTTAGTCACACCAGAGGCACTGCCATATCCAACCGTCTGAATATCCGGCGTGGAATCTTTCAAGGAGACTCTCTGTCACCCCTTCTGTTTTGTTTATCCTTAATCCCTCTTACACATGAACTGAACAACAGTAGCTATGGTTACAAAATAAATAAGAAAATATTCAATCACCTACTCTACATGGATGATCTCAAACTCTTTGCCAAAGACGACAATGAGTTGAAAGGCCTCCTCAATATTGTAAAATACTTCAGTGACGACATACGTATGGACTTCGGATTAGATAAATGTGCAAAAGTAACTTTCAAGAAAGGTAGAATTACAGAAACACCCTTAATAGATTTAGATTTTGTCACAAAGATTAGGGAACTGGAGCATGGTGAAGCTTATAAGTACCTAGGAATTAGCGAAGGAGATGGCATACAACACCCCCAAATGAAGGAAAAAATAAGAAAAGAGTACTACAGGCGTGTAGGTCTGGTACTAAATACTGAGCTAAACTCAAAAAACAGAATATCAGCCATAAACACATTGGCTGTCCCTATGGTGCAATACAGCTTTAATGTCCTTAACTGGACCATAGCTAAAATTAAGCGAATGGATGCCAAATCGAGAAAGCTTCTCACTTGCTACCGCATGCATCATCCCAAAGCTGATGTTGATCGTCTGTATGTGCCCAGATCCGAAGGTGGCAGAGGATTAGTTCAACTAGAATTGTTCTACAAAACAACAACAATTGGCCTCCAAAGATACTTGGAAACTACAGAAGACTGAATGATGGTATGCGTCAAGGAACATGAAAGTAGTAAGTGTCTTTACTCCGTAATAAAAGAAGCCAACAAATTCAAAATGAAGTTTCAAATGGGCGTAGAGATGCAAGTACAGCACAATACACCGGCTGAAACTGCAAAATATTTAAAAAAGACAGCAAAAACGAATGCAACCGACCAGATACAGAAGCGATGGCAAGATAAACCACTTATGGCTAATACTCTGCCCGTACCAAACAAGCTGACGTAGACAAAACCCGCACCCATAAGTGGCTACGTAGTGCAGGGTTGAAAGCTGAAACTGAAGGTTTTATCCTTGCTGCACAGGACCAATGCTTGCTAACTAAGTATTATCAAGCACATATACTAAAATATTGTGTCAGCCCAAAATGCAGATTCTGTGATAAATATCCAGAAACGATTCATCATCTTGTATCAGGTGCACGATATTGGCACCCACTGAATATAAAACCCGGCATGACAGAGTGGGCCAATATCTGAACTGGAAAATCTGCAACGTCTACGGGAAGGAAACTGAAAGAAAATGGTATGAACACCACCCAGACCCGGTTACGGAGATAGGACCTGTTACAATTCTATGGGACTAAATACACACTGACAGAACAATCAAAGCCAACCGCCCAGATATTGTTATGAAAGATCACAAACAAAAAAAGTGCCTCTTTATTTATATGGCAATCCCTGCTGACTGCAATGTATCTTTGAAGATATTCAAAAAGCTGTCAAAATACAAGGACCTTGAAATAGAAATCTCAAAAATGTGGCACATGGTAACATCAACAATCCCTGTTGTAGTTGGAGCCCTAGGACTGGTTGGAAAAGATTGCAGTAGACTAATTGAAGGGATTCCTGGAAGTCCATGCCTCAAGGAGATACAAAATTTTTTTCTGACAAGTACAGCCCACACTTTAAGAAGGGCTTTATCTATGTAAGATTTTTTTTTTTTTTTTTTTGTCAGTGGAAAGTGTCATGACCCGGAAAGAAATATGTAAACGCCAGAAATCAAAGAAAATAATAATAATTATATATATATATATATATATATATATATGTGTGTGTGTGTGTGTGTGTGTGTATGTCCAAAAAACGAAAAGGAAAAATTATATATATATATATATATATATATATATATATATATATATATATATATATGTATGTATGTATGTATGTATGTATGCTTCGGTACTATTCGTATCTTTAAATGTGAAAAGAGGATAGTATATTTTAAAAGTTGCGGAAGTGGATATTGTAGTTAACATTTGGAGATGATCCTAATGTCTAAAAATTGACGAAAAACGTGCAAAAAATTAAGTTTCAAAAGAAATGAATAAAAATGGAGACTGAAAATGAATTAAAAAATGAGAAATATATTTAAGAACTCTTTTAAACTGAATAATTTTTATTTTAAAATGTAAGAAAAACAGAGAATAAAACGCAAGAATAAATATCTTAAAAAGAGAAAGATGAGATGTAACGAAAGCGGAAAAACTAAAAAAGTAAAAAGAAGAAAAATATCTCAAAGCAAAGCCGGTTTATTGTAAAGATAGAAAGAAATCAGGATGAAATGGAAAAAAAGGCGTTAGAAGAATTAACTGCAAATGTAGATTCTGTGAAGGCATTATTTGGAATGGTTTTTTTTTCACAGGACAGATATCCTGCTCTCCCTTCAATTCCTGTCTGACTTTCAATATTTTAATCAGTTTCCCCCCAAGCAAGGCAGTGAAGCTACTAAGACGCAAGGAATTAACGGCTGGGAAGAATTAGGTACAGAAATATTAAAAATGAGCGAGAAGATAAAAGAGTTATCAAAAGGACAGTTTATAAGATTTAAAAATGCATTTAAATTTTTAGAGATTAAAATTGGCGGGAAAACATGGAACTAGGAGTTCTATAAAAGAGAAGTACAAGAAACGAAACTGTTAGCATAGAAGTTACGGTCACATCTTGCCAGGTTGACTGTAAATTGATGAGATTTCGACGCCCGTCTAGTGCTGTGCTTAAATTCAAAAACTCTATATACCATAGGAAAAAATTCATTCAAACAATTATCATGAAAATATTTATAGAAAAGACAGAGAGAGGCAACCTTACGGCGGTGAGAAAGTAACTGAAGCTGACCAGCAAGATTAAGAGTGATAGTATTTCTGATTCTTCTTCGGATTTTGTCAAGGACCACAAGGTAAATTACAGGGGTACCGGACCATATGTGGCAACATAGATAGATAGATAGATAGATAGATAGATAGATAGATAGATAGATAGATAGATAGATAGATATGAACATCCAGATAGATAGACAGAAAAATAGATATGAGCAGAGAGATAAATATGAACAGGCAGATAGATAGATAGATAGATAGATAGATAGATAGATAGATATGAGCAAACAGATAAATATGAACAGCCAGATAGATAGATAGATAGATATTAACAACCAGATAGATAAATAGATAGATAGATAGAATTTTTGAGAAGGTACAATGAGTCACTTTCCTGGCGGTTAGCATCAGCCATGCTGATAAAAGACAAAGTGTGGACTTTCAGATGATTAATGGAGAGAAGTTTAGTTAAAGTCGTAAATATTAACAAACCATCTTTTGCCCCAGTAAACAATGAACATGATATTATTTTACATATAGGCTGCTGCCATTTTGGCATTGTCGGACTGCAAAGCCTTATTATCGAGACAGGAGAAAATGGCTGTCTCCTCAGTGTAGATAGCAATTTGAGAGCTGATGCCATCGGGAATATAAGTAATGAACATTAAAATAGGACCAAGGATGGATCCCTGGGGGACACCGACATTAGTACAAAAAGATCGAGTGGCCGTTCAGGATAATTTTCATTTCACGATTTGATAGGAAAGACTGGACCGGTCCAAAAATGTGTCTGGAGACATCGTAACTATTCAGCTTGTGGAGAAGACCTGTATGTCAAAACCCTTTCAAATGTTTTCGAGATGTTCAAAGCTACAACCCAGGCTTCGCCGTTTTTATCTAGAACATGATAGACTCTTTTCACAATTATCGACAGGACATCAGCAGTTGACCTGGAGAAACGAAAACTATAATTGACAATATTGCGTAATTACATAGAAATTACAAAAAAGCCGAACGAGAAACATGAATTCAAATCAGACTAATTTATTTCTTTGCTGATTTTGTCCAATCTGTCTCAATAATATCGAGTTTACAACATTATAAACATAAAAAAATCACAGTCACATTCCGAGATAGGCACAGAGATATGTACAGGCTAAGATAGATAGATAGATAGATAGATAGATAGATAGATAGATAGATAGATAGATAGATATGAATAGACTAGGATAGATCGATCGATCGATAGATAGATAATGAACAGTTTCAGATAGATAAATAGATATGAATATAGATAGATAGATAGATAGATAGATAGATATGAATAGAGTGAGATAGATAGATAGATAGATAGATAGATAGATAGATAGATAGATAGATAGATAGATATGAAGAGACTGCGATAGATTGATCGACAGACAGATAAGGAATACTTTCAGATATATATTTAGATAGATAGATAGATAGATAGATAGATAGATATCATAGCTTCCTCTAAATAAGTTCGTAAGGTTTCCAGTGCTCTCATTAAAAAGTTTTTACTCATCTCAAGTATTGAATCTTCCCTGTAAACATTTTTTTCCATAAAATATTGGAGTCTTTTTTTAAGAGGACTTAGATTCTTTCAAATGAATTATATAAAAAAAGCAACAAATTCCAAAGGAACATTTTCCGTCCTAATCTGTGAAGGCATTCAGCCGAGAGATAAATGGTCTAGACTTTATTTTCATACGAGTGGCTGATGATCGTCAAAATCGTTTATTCCTTCGAATGTTCACAGTATTTCTCTAATATTTATTGCTGGAGATGAAGCTACATAAATTGGAAGCAGATTTAAACACTTCTTGCTAACCCCACAACTGCCATGACATAAAGAGACTGACGATTAATCCACGAATCTCAAATTCGTTCAGTCATGCCTACAATATGTCAATTATTATCGGCTGGAACTATTATCATTATTATTTTTATTATCATTTCTTTGTATTTATTTTGTATAGACATTTTCTTCCGGGTCCCAACCAGAGACCTAAGTTTAGAAATGGCTCCACAACATCTTCCACTGATACTTTTTTATGAAAAAAAAAAGAAAATCTTAAATAACACATATTTTACATATATAAAGATCTTCTTAATTTGTGAGCTGTAATGTTTTGTTTATTTCTCTAAAGTATAAGCTCCGAGTAAATCCCTTTAGTGTCCATCTTGATCTTTTCTAATCAATCCGAGGCCTCCAATTAAACTGCTTTCCACTTCATGTCAGCTAAAACTGTTATCCCGAGAAGGTCCACTTGGTTACTCTCCTTGACTGGGCCTTCAGCTGCTCACCTGAGAAAAGTTTCGTTTTGGAGGTTTTAAAATTAAAAGGCCATTTCTTGACCCAGTTAAGTCATTAAAACGATCAGATTTACTATTAAGACAGGAGTAAACAGCTGTGTCCTCAGCATACACAAAATTATTATTATTAATATTATTATTATTTATATTATTATTAATAATAATATCATTATTAATACTTATTATTGAGTGATGGTGTGGCGCACCAATAAACCTATGCTAGTGTACAAATATATGAAACCGAATATACCCATCACAATACTCACTAATATACGGATATACCACGCACATCCATCGCAGCCAAATATGTGTGATATTCTAATAGGTTATGATAAAAGCAATGTAAAAGTTTGCAAGTGGTTTCTTGTTAGGTATGACTTTAGGTCGGGTAAGCTAGTACACTCAGATAATGCTTTCAGGTCGGGTAACTCTGTCCGCTTTGTACAATGCCCGGTAACCGAGTCCGCTCAGATATTAGCTTCAGGTCGAGTAAGCCAGTCCGCTTAGACAGTACTTTCAGGTCAGGTAATTCAGTCCACTCAGACAAGGTCTTTAGGTCGGGTAACCCAAGTCCGCTCAAAAATGTCTTCAGTTCGGGCAACCCAGTCCGCTCAGAAAATGTCTTCAGGTCGGGCAACCCAGTCCGCTCAGAAAATGTCTTCAGTTCGGGCAACCCAGTCCGCTCAGAAAATGTCTTCAGTTCGGGCAACCCAGTCCGCTCAGAAAATGTCTTCAGGTCGGGAAACCCAGTCTTCAGTACATTACCATCTGTCCGGGTAACCCATTCTGCTTAGACAGAAGTAAGGGGGTACAACTGAAAAGACTTTTATATTGACAACTTTTCTCATTCCACTGAAACAGCCGTTAAACTATCGTTCATTTTTTATTTCTTTCATTCTTTGTTTTTTTTATATTGAAACCAAACAGTGTATTTTCCCCTCTTTCTATGCGAACAAAACGGAATAGTCCATTATTTATGATGTATCGGCAAGGCGTAACGGCCATGCAAATTAACGTACGAAATGACAAACAATCATAATAGAACTAGAAAGGCCCGTGTAAATGTCACGGTTTTCCTATATTAATTTTCTGATGAATCTTAAATTCTTCAGTTAATGATTGAATAAGCTGATGGCGGGATCTACGACAAGAAAATATTCGTAGAAATTCCCCTATCGCGTCATTGGACATTTGAGTTTCACAGTTTTAACAAAATATTGTAATAACATTCCAGAATATGAATGTTGGTCGTTATTTCAAAAAACAAGGCGGGTATAAATAAAAAGATTTGGAATTGGGAAAGTTTTCGGTTTCAATGAGAGAGACGGCAAACACTTCTATGTTTCCTTCAATTTTTTGTTTTATTTTCTCGCTGAAACCAAGTAGCGTCTCTGATATACCAATTCCTCCCTTTCATGGGCTCAAAACGGAATAGTCTATTATTTATGAGGTATTGGCAGGATGAAATGGTCGTGTGAACCAACGAGGGACGAGCACAATTATAATAAGATTATTGTTGTTGTTGTTGTTGTTGGGCTTGTAGGTCTTTTTAATACTTAATGGTGTCAGAAGTCACCGCTGCTCAAACTTTTTTTTTTGCCCAACCTAATAGAAATGTAATTAACTGTAGTTATTTTCTTTTTTCTTTCTTACTTTATATTTTCTTAGTGTTTCGTTATCTCCCTCATCAATCTTCGTTATTTGCTTACAGAATTTCTTTTAATTTTTACCATTGAAAGATTTTTAACCTGTCGTTTTTTTCTTTATGTTGAGCAATGAACGTGCTGTTAAAATGCTTCCCAGTTACTTGCCCTGAGATCAAATGTGTAGTTGCTGGGCTGTGCATACTACCCTGGAAAGCCCGACCGGCGATGGTTTGCAAGACTGATTACTAACCCCAGCTAGTGAGTTGTGACATTCGCTATCTTATCAACATTTGCTTTTTTCGACCTGAATTTAAAAATTAAACTCACTATTAAAGGATAAAAAAATTTCGCGGATTTTGATGTCATTTTGGGTGTTTTTTTTCTACTGTCCAAATCCGTGAATTTCTTTTGCTAAATCTCGAAAAACACTAAATAAAATTTACTATTTTTTATCGATAATGTTGCATGTATTAAAATTCTTCAACATTTTAACAACAAAAATCACGAGTTGATGTTCAGAATTGCCGCAAAATATTGACTTATTTAAGATGGAATCATCTATTATGACTGATTTATTTAATTTATGTATTTAGATACATTGTATTTATTTTCAATTTTTCTCGTTGAGTTATTTATCTGTATTGCATAAGATCCATTATTGTACGTTAAGTTACAGTCATTTTTTTTTTGTATTTTATATAAATGCTATCTTATAAAATAGTAGAATGGCGGGGACCCCGTATCATCGATTTCGTAGATTTAGATTCGGGAGTGAATGGGGGATCATGAGACCTTTGCACCAGTTCTGTGTGATTTGTCATAGTCCGGATTATGGCATTGCAGTTAAATTAAAAAGGAAAGCAAATTTGTATAGTATTTGGCCACTAACCTCTCCTTAGTCTGGCACGACGGCATCAAGATCGCTTTCAGTTCATCCTTTTCTTGATTAGCCATCCCCTCTCCGTACTAAGATGGCTCATTGCTGTCTAACTTTGCCGTTCTGATAGGAACCATCGCGCTTTTTTCGTAATTTTTACCGAAAGCTGACTTGATTGTATGCAGAAATGAGCACGTGGCTTTCGGAGAGACAATCAACAAATTCTCTTCCGCATTGATTTCCTATTCGATCGATGCAAAATGCTTCTGTTTATTCATTCGAATATTCCGTATTTTGTCATTAAATTATTGTTCCTGTTTTTTATGGCCTTGTGCCAACTTTCAGCATATTACTAGGCTGAGTCATATATAATTTCCCTTTTTTTCATCAAATGATATTGCTAGCGTTCCTTTGCGGAAAAATGGAATCACCTATGTTACACAGGTTACTGAGAATGGTACAGACTGTTGGATTCGTTTTTCTACAAATGAGACAAATTGCTTAGAATTATATTAGGTTGGGTCATAAGTAATTACAGATTTTGTTTATCAAATTTACATTTTATTCAGTTCTATATTTTCCATTATTTGCAATAACTTGTTGCATCTTTCCAGTATCTTTGTTGACAACATTTTTTTTTCATCAAAACGTTTTGCATCATTCGAAACAAGTAATAATCGGTTGGTGTGGAGTCAGGCAAATATGATGGTGGGTTAGAACAGTCTTGTTCAAAAAGGTCGCTTTCCAGTGGGATTTGATTTTTTGAAATGGTGAAAAAGTCGCAAGGGTTGAGATCTGGAGATGGTAATTGTCGGACATAGGAAATGTTGTCGTCGGCCAAAAACTGGGGAATAAGCCATGGTCACTGATAAGTCACTGTGCTGTGGTTGGACGACCACACTCTACGCACTTTCCTTCCAAGCTGTGCTATAAACAACGGAAACGAGCAAGAACGCTATAACTTAGTGTGGATACACGACAGAGATCATGGTCTGATGTGATTTCAATTTTATTTTTATAGTTATCGTTATTTTTTTATATTTTCTCTAAACCAATGAAATAAGACTTTTCATTGAACACCAACTGGTAGATACTGTTGCCTTCTAGTAAATGCCACCGGAGTAGAAAGAAGCATCCGCTGGCATAGTTCGATTAGGAAATCCCAATAAAACACTATATTAATCAGTCAAAGATTTTACAAGCATCAATGCTAAATTATTTGTTTGAGGTTCCCATCAACATCTTTTATGTGCCGTGTCTCTTCAGCACGTAGGCGATCATGGCTCTCCACCTCCTCCTGTTCCTTCTAATTCTCAATAAGTTTTGTCTTTTCTTATTTCTTACAGACCCTTTTCTGTCATCCACTTACTTAAGCCTGTTAAGTATGTCACTCGTTGCTTTCCCTTGTCACTCTCCCGCTCTTTCCGCCCTGTGAGTATTATATTTTTCAAGCCATTCTTTCTCATTACCTGTCCCAAAAATTCAGCTGCGTCTTCCTGATTTAAACTATAAATTTCTTCTTTTTTTCATCCTCTCCAAAACCTCACCGTTCGGTCCATGATATCCTTAGCATCCTTCTGTAGAACCACGTCTATGTTGCGTCGAATCTCTTCTTCATCTTTGAGGATATTGTCCAGCATTCGCTGCCAGCCATGTGAAAAGATATGACGTAGCTGTTCAGTTCTCTTTTCTTTGTTAACAACGAAACACTTTCGTCTTGTAATAATCTTCCTAACTTTTAGAATGCGTCTTTGGTCATCTCAATATGTCTTCGGATTTCAGCCTCGCACTTTCCGTCCTCTGTCAGAACACTTCCCAGATATTTAAATTTCCATACCTGATTGATTTTAGTGTCCCTGGTGGCCATGCATTCTGTCTTCTTGTTTGTTTATGCGCTTAGCTCCTTTTTCTCGCTCGCCTTCACAACATTTTATAGGATGATTTGCAGTTTCCTTACCTTTCCAGAACTGTCTCATCTGCATATTTTATGCTCTTAAGATTCTGGCCGCCAACGATGAATTTTGTTAAGATTTCTTCTTCTCTCAGAATTGCCTTGCTGTATAGATTGAAAAAGTCCGGTGAAGTAACTCCTAAACAAACAAAAAAAAGAAACAAATTTCAGGGTCGAATCCTGTCTTTTCTGAATGTAATGGATGTGTTTTCGTTTCTAATTTTAATATTTTCATTTTTATTTCTTTATCGTTATCTTAATCGTTTTTTGTTTTTTTTTGTTGTTGTTGTTGCTGTTTTTTTTTTCAGTCATTTGTTAGAAAGTTTTTCTTGTTTGTATTAATAATATTAACGCATTGTTAGTTTGGATCAGGTTCATATCGTCATTGAGATTTTTTTCTTTTTTCGTTTTTAGCTGGGAAAAGAAATTACGCATTTTGTAAGACTGGGTATTGCGTCTTTAACTAAGTTAAATCTTAATTACTTTGATTATATTTTTCCACTTCTGGGTTTCTGTTCGGGTCTCCTGATGAGTCCTCTGAGTGAAACTCGTTCTTTGTAATAATTTATCTAGTAGCCAAACTCAGTATTCTTTGTTTTTGATTTGTTTTTTAATAAGAGTAGATAGGCTCTTCTCTCGCCCTCCCTTTTCCTGTGAACAGGTCCATCCCTTGTTCCCTGTTTAGGAAGGGGTTCACGGGGTTCTTTTCTTTTTCTCCGGTCTTAATAATGGTGCTATCATTAATCTCTTGTGGTGTGCGTGGATGGCGGTAATGTCTCTTCAGACTGAGGGGACTAGGTTGGCAGTTTTCTAGTTGGTGTTCTCGACTGATCGTTACGAGACCGAAATCTTGGGTAAGCATCTTGAGTGGCTGCTCGGATCAACAGTTGCATAATATTAGGGTTCTTTTAGTGCCATGTCCAGCATGGACGTGTCTCCCTGCAAGAACACGGACACACTATGTTGTAGTTTGCGCAAGTTCCCATCTGTCCATGTTAAATTTGATGACCGACTGCCGTCATCATTCTAGGCCTTTTCCATTCTAATATAACACATCATGGCTATAAAAAACGTACAAACGTACAGTGTAACAAAAAAATACCTAAACCCTTTTACATCATTTGTTATAACATTTGTAGTAACGTTACCAGTTTTTGCAGAGTCTTTGGACAACTTTGCTCTCTATGAAACTAACTTTAACTTGTCAATCCCCTCCTCTGGTTTCTTGATACCTGGCTGCGTCCCTCTAATTAAAAAGGACTCCAAAGTCTAAATACACAGCCTGGGTGTTTATGCCCGCTAACATCTCCCGCTGGCTCTCGAATCTCCAGATCATTCGTATATGTGTCTCCGTTTCTCTTTCTCCTTAATTCAGTCAGCTATTTCTTCTTTCTTTACCGATCCCCGTTCCTCTCATGACTGTTGTATGCTTAGATAGTATTCCCGATAATATTGACAAAGAGCCGTCTCCCTACACCCGTCTGCTAATATATTCGTGTTCGGTAAATTCAACGCCCATCATGCCAGGTGGCTTAAATACTCTGTCACTAGCCCCAATAGCAACCAAACCCTTAACTTTTCAATCACTCACTCCCTCACACAAGTCGTTGACTTTCCTACGCGTTTCCTCAGTAACCCTGATGGAAACACTTCTTTTCTCGACCTCTGTTTTACCTTTCTTCCTGGCTCATGTCACGCAAGTGCATCTTGGTAGCATTCTCGCCTTACTTGGATTGAAGTGATTATAAAAAATAAAAATTCAAAAGGGTCAGAGAATTTTCTGAGTTTAGTCAACAGCCGAAATTATGTGTTTGCAAGCTACTGGAGGTAACACGTAAAACTCTGTGCCCCTCCCCTCCATAAAAGAAGGGGTAGCTACACTCTACTACCAAATCCCATTCCTCCCCTACAACAATTCTATGGCGTGGATATGGTCTCTCCCAGAATTCCAACCTGTGGTCAATCAGTCACTGACTTTTATAAAAAAAAAAAAAATCCATCCCAACCGTCAAAGTGGAATTCTGTCTTTTCTGAATGGAATGTATGTGTTAGTTTCTAATTTTAATATTTTAATTTTTTCTTTATTTTTATTTATATATTATTCTTAATCCTCTGCAACGTCCTCGATTTTCTTTTAGTCATTTGTTAGAAAGTTTATCTTGTTTTGTATTAATAATATTAACGCATTTTTAGTTTGGATCAGGTTCATATCGTCATTGACTTTTTACTTTCTTTTTTGTTTTTGACAACTGAATAGGGAAATAAATTATTCATTTTGTAAAAGTTGTTGGTTATTTTGTTCCTATTTAAAAGTAAAAGTTTTATCTGTGCCCCTCTCTTCTCCATAAAAGAAGGGGTCACTACACCGCACGACCAATTTCCCTCTTCTTTCTCTACCACAATTCTATGGCGTGGATACGATCTCTCCCAGAATACAAAAATTTTCTTAACCAGTCATAGACTCATAAAAAAAAAAGGAAAATTTTTCCTGCCAACCGTCATGATCGAATTATGTCTTTTCCTTCAACATCACCATTGTTTAAATCATTTTTCCGGTCTAACAATGATATACCCTCTCAACATATCTTACTTCTTCTCTCAGTTCTATATCTCGCTCTCTCTCTCTTTCTCTCTCTCTTTCTCTCTCTCTTTATCTCTGTTCTGTCTTTTACGCTTTCATTATATCTACCTTTCTCTTATTTTCTTACTCCCTTCTTCTCATTTTCTTTCCTTCTTTTTTCAATCTTTCTTCCTTTCTCTTCCATTTTTTTACCATTTCTCGTTCGTTCGATGTTTTATCTTTCTTTTTCCTCTCTGTTTATTTTAGTTTCTTTTACCTTTCTCGCTTTTTTTCTCTTTTTCACTTTCTCTTTCTTTCTTTCTTTCTTTCATTATTCTTCTATTTTTATTTATATCTTCCTCTCTACCTCGCACTTTCTCGTCTCTTTTGGCCTTGTATCTCCCTCCTTCTCTACTTTTCTCTCTCTGTATTTTCCATTTCTTTTCATCTTTCTTTCAAACGCATTCTTACTTCATTCTGGTTCCATCTCTTTCTTCCTCTTACATTTCTCTCTCTCTCTCTCTCTCTTTTGTTTCTTTCTTTGTTTCTGAATTCTCTTTGTTTCTTTCTCACTTCTCACTTTATCTCTCTTTCATTCCTCCCACCTTACGTTCCTCCTTTCTTTCTCTGTGTTTTGTATATATATATATATATATATATATATATATATATATATATAAATTAATTGATTTAAAATATTTTTTTTTTCGCTACACAGTCTGGTTGAATGGATTTCTCGGTAACCTTGGAAATGTGAATTATGATTTTTACTGTGTCTTTAAAACCCAGTAATTTTAAAAGTTATTCCAAAATTCGCTTGGGGATGAAATGGAACTAATGTCTTTAATTTAATTACAAAATTAAATTCGGAGCTTTCAGCTTCCATTTTTGAAACTTGGTTAGAACTGTGTAGCGAAAAAAACATATTTTAAATCAATTGATTTATAATATTAATGCTCTGTGAATTTACATTGAGCACTATTTTGTAAAAATAAAATATCTATACGAACACCGGATTATATATCTTACTGTTCTTCCTTTATATATATATATATATATATATATATATATATATATATATATATATATATAGATAGATAGATAGATAGATAGATAGATACACAGAGACACACACATAGATATACATATATTATCTTTCTCTCTTTCTCTTCTCTAGCCCTTCTATCTCTCTCTCTTTCCTTTTCGCTTTCCCTCTTCCTCATGATTCTCTTTTTTTTTGCTTCCTCTCTCATTCATTTCTCTTTATTTCTTAAACTCTTTATTTCTATCCTTGTCTCTATTTCGCTTTCAATTTCCTGTCTCTCTCTCTCTCTCCTCTTCTTCCTCTATATCCACCCACCCTCCTGTCTCTCTCTTTATATATAAATCTCTCTCTCACACACACACATACACACACACACACACACACACAAATTTTGTATCGCTTCCGCCTCGGCAGTGACCCTCGGCCTTCCGTTTCCCTGATGCTTAGCCATAGTTCAAAGGAATCTAACTGAAAACAAATCCAGTCATTTTCCTTTAAGATAAAAGGTCACACGTAGGAGTCATCAGAAAAGAGGGTCTGAAGCCTTATCATTGCCTGTTTTGTCATTTCGCTCCTTAA